CACGGTCAAAATAAAAATTGTGTAAATGACCTTTCCGATTGCAATTAGTGCAATGAAAGAGGCTCATTTGATTTTGTTGACCATAAACATGTGCACGAGAAACATTTGAAACATTTGCAAACATGGATGATCTTTTAAAATTATTTTGCAAATGTGAAACTCTCTTTAAATCAAAACAAAATTTGGCCAAATGACCAAATCTACCACAATGATCACATCTATACACATGAGCATGCTTATGATGAGCAATGGGTGCATGTGTGTGTACATGTGATGAAGAAACTTGATGAGATGCACAAGAAGGATTAATATTCTTATGTTTTTGTGCATCATAGCAAAATTTAGCTAAATGGCCTTTACGACCACAAATGGAGCACTTGTAAACTTTGCTATACAAGTGTGCATAGTGTGTGGGTGATTTTGTAGCACTAGATTTAGCACACTTGTCCATAAGTTTCTTATGGTTATCAATGCATGTTTTTAAAGTTGAATCTAAGCATGATATGCGTTCCTTAACAAGATTCAAATCATCATTATGCACAACATCATTGATAATAGAAGTAGAGCATGTATGGTTATCAAAATCATTTCTAATTGCTACTACTTCTAGCATGACATTATCTCTTTCATGAGTTAACTTAGCAAAGTTTGAAAGCAAAGAATCATGATCCAATTTTAATTTTTCATTGTTTTCTTTAAGGATCACATTTTCATTAGAAATAGTTTCAAACTTAGATGCTAACAACTCATGATCGGATTTCAAATCCTCATGCTTGCTTTTTAAATCAATAAAATTTTTATGCAATAAGTTATAGGCATGCAACAATTTTTCACTAGCACAAGCAAGTTCATCACTAGATAAATCATTATCGGGTTCGAACTCGCAAACCTCACTAGGGCTATCGCCTAGTGGCCGTGTGCATGATGCTCCACATGAACTTGAAGCCGGATCCGCCAAGGCTTGTTGGATCGCCTCCAAGTCCCCTTGATGTGCTTCTATAAATTTCCAAACTTTGTAAGCACTATCAAAATGAACAAACTTGTTAGACATAGATGAGTTAAAAGCATTTAACAAATATTCTAACAAAATGTTGTTCATAGTAAACATGCGATGATCATTTTTATTCCACTTGGATTTCTCCATAGTGGGCACAATATAGGCATCATCTATAATTTCCCATAAATCAAAGTGTTTAGATTGAACAAAAAGTTTAAATCTAACATACCATTGGGCATAGGGGAAATTATCTAATCTAGGAGCAATATTGATGGCATAACCTAAACCATGCATATCCATAATATAAAAGGCAAGCAAGATACAAATAAAGCTCAAAATTAGATTAGCATAATAAGCTAACTTGGATCT